CATTATCTATTCTTACATAAATGTCTTGCTGAAAACATTGATCAAAATTGTTCAAAAAAAATCGCATTTTGATTACACTTGAATAATTCCAAATTAAAATTTCAAAAACAAAAAAAGGTCAAATATTCTAGTCCAACATCGGAGTGSGATTTCACACTACATATTCTATTTTATGAAAGAAAGAAAATGAATGGTAAAGTATTATTGTAGGGGTGAAAATATTATTTGATAAGAACAACGACAATAAAAGAAGTCCAATGCTAATAATATAACTATTTTGATTAATATTATCGATCTGCGTAAGCTTGTTTTTGAAGTGACGTTATATAACATAATAATTAATAATGTTTTATATAATATTTATAAGTATAAATGTGATTATGAGTGACAAAGTTAACAAACTACAGCTCTGTTGTGGCGGAATCTTAAATGTGAAACACAATAATGTAAAATACATCGTTATACTCGAATAATTTTATTTTATTGCAACAATGTAATAAAATACTAATACTAAGTTAGATTTTTTTCCTTAATCAACAAATGCTCAAAATTGAATAGCCTATAGGGTTGACTGTACAGAATGACTCACTAAGCATGCTCACCATAACTTTTTCTTTTATTTAATAATATTATTCAATCGCTACAGTAAAGAGTTAATTGAATATGAAATTTAAGTAGGTATAAATATTTTAAAATAAAATTATAATGAGTATAATGTATATATATTTATAAATTTAAAAAATCAGAATTTGAACAAACAATTAATTAATTAATGAAAAAACCCGATTATTATTTATTCAGATGCGAATCACTCTGTATAATATGCGGTTCGAGTGCGATCGGAGTCATCATCACGTGATATTATAAAGACGTCGCWCCGTAAACGTACATAAATATGAAATTACGTTTGATGTATACTTCCTATATATTATAGTACACGCGTAACGTATTATTATTATTATTATTATAGATTTCTTATCTCGCCTTATTTGTACTGGTACGTGTTGTTGTAACCGTCGTGTATAATGTTATTAAAATATAGTGTGTAATAATTGATTAGGCATAGTTTCCTATTCCATACAGATGATTCGTGTGTTGCTGCGATTTCGAGCGTAAATATACCGTAAAAAAAAAATTAAAGATATATAATCGCATAGCAAGTACCAAGTATCATTATATCACATACGTATTAATGTATTATCTATGATAATCGGTGCTTAAATTTAAAAATAACGAGTGTCTATCGTTTTTACATTCCATTTGGCGACATTTGGATGTTAAAAAGGGTGTGCTTAAATTTTAATGTTATTTTGATTTTTTATAACATGTTGAACTTAAAGTATTGTATTTTTAATTTTTAGATTTAAGTTCAACATGTTAAAAACAAAAAATAAAATTTTAAAAATAGTTGACATTTAWCATGAGGATTAGTTGAATTACTGAAATAAATTTAATACTAATTAATGCGTTTTTAATATGTATAACAAAACATTTCAGGGAAATATATTAACTATAGTTCAGAGAGACCACTTTGACGGTTCATTGTTGTAAAGTTTAAAAAAAAAAAATTGAATTGAATTGGAATAATGAGAAATGTCATATTGTCATAACTCATAGGTCAAATAAATAAAGAACAAACCCTGTTTTTCATGTAGTTATTTCATTTTTCGTTACATAACATTAGTATTGTGTAACATTATATTTATTTATAGTTGAATCGTAATTTTAAAAATTATGTTATTGATATAGTTTGTTTAATAGTTGTTCGAATTTTTCGTTTTTCGTTTTTCGTTTAACTAACAAAAAAAAGCAATAATTTTTCGTCATGAAGTTATAAATAATAAATTATAAAAATCGTAGTACCTACATTATATTAATATATATCGCTGCATAATATTATAATATATTAATACCTTAATATACGTACATGATATTGTAATGTTTATAATGTGACGTATATATTATTCATGTGTGTAAGAATATATTTTATTGTAGTGCTCTTTACTATTATACGATGAACAACAATAACAATGTGAACATCGTTATGTGTGTTGTATTCTATTTGTCTACGTGAATAATATTACGTTATAGACATTTGACTATTGGCCGTTGAGTTATCGCATACGTAAATAATTGGGTCGTTCGCTCAAAGTATTATAGGTCACGATTATGTCTATCTATCGTGTTATTATTGTTCGATAGCTACCGTGTGGATGATTTTGTTATATATTATAATACGCATAATGTAGTCATATACTATCGTCCGAAATTTTTGATGCGAATATTCCGTTTCCGGGCGTCTTCCGCTTTTATATGGATCGTCTCTCATCGGCGCCGGGACAGCGCAAATCAATATACGTGTGTGGGTGCTTAACCATATAGGTGTAGTACGCCTCCAAAAGGCATAAAATATTCATACTCCGACATCCTGTAATTATGATAATATATTGTATATTTTGTTACGTAATAGGTATCTTAATAATATTGGATTATGTACAAGGATGAAAACACCGAACATTTCATTTATATCCACCGATAAATCAGTATATAAAGTTAGGTTGAGTATACAATAATCGTTACAGTGACCGCGTGTGTGGACCGTGTGGTATATACCTAAATATATAGGTAATAGGTGTACAGAGTGATTCACCGCCAAGCATGGTCGTGTTTCGCTTGTTAAAATCCTGATTTTTCAAATTTTCAAGTAAATAACCTACCAGTTGTATTATTACCCTTTCACTGCTGTTGACGTGTATACATGTCAAAGCACCTACTGTTGTATGCTGTGGACGTGTAAACACATTTTTATCAATTTAACTTATTTGACTAGTCATAGAAGAATTAATGTTACAAAAAATTATAGATTTTTGAATTGTCTATCCAATAGAAGAAAAATCAAAAGCCTTTCACAAAAACTTCCTTTGTTATAAACATTTACGTGTTTGGCGAAAATCAATGACTCCCAAAATGGTAATTTTTCTCTTCACGAGTGTTTTATCAGGCGTAAATACGGTTGTCGGTTGACTGTTTAATTTTTCAATTTTAAATAGTGTTAAAAGTATATWAATGACTTAAAAATATTGAAAAACCGGTTAACCAAATGTTTTGCTAATTTAATAATTTATTTAAGCGAGTGCATTTTGAGAACTGCTGTCTAAGAGTTATACAACTATTTATAAGTTATAACTTAGTGAATTTTGGTCCAAAATTTTTTCTGATTCATTGAACATAGATCTATCCTTATAGGGTAGCAAAACCATTTAAATAATTTATGAAAAATGGTCAGCACACAACAGGTGCTTTAGATTTTATTGGTAAGCAGTGAAAGGACCAAATAATTTCAATTACTCAGATTTCTTATATATAAGTACCGGCAAAAAAATGACTCRTGACAAAATCTACTTGTTTTTTTCCAAACAAAAATGATCCTTTTTTTATACATTTTCATGTATTTACACAAATCCTAATTCAAGGGAATAGTTTTTGACTTTGTGTACAAGGAATGTTATTATAGTATCACGTTATAGTTTTGGAAATTTGGAATATATATGTGTGCTTTGATGATTTGAATATTTGAATAAATAATATTCATCTTTTAGCATTTTATAAATTTACAAAACTGTTCTAGTATAACTAATGTTATGGATCGGATATTACATCATCTGTCTTATAGTTTTTGTGAAATAATTGTTATGGACCATTTTGTAATTCTCATACATTTTTTAATAACTCAGGAACTGCACGTTTAAATTTGAATTTGAATTTTGATACATGAATATTTAAAAAATAATCATTTGTCAATACAAATTACTGCAAAGATTGGTTCTCATTTAAAAAAAAATAAGTTTGTATCACACAAGACWCTTCTAAAATAGTTTTAAAAATAAAAATATTGACCTTAAGTATAGGTATTAGATTCAAAAATAATTATTTGGATAAATTCTTAATCAAACTACAAAATGAAGGCATGATTGATGAATCACTTTGTGTATAATAATAATAGTCAAGTGTTTGAGCGTTTTTAGATAAATTCGTTGGTCATGTTTTGAGCACGTTGTTCTATCAGGTTGTTACTTTATTCGGGCAGATTATTAATTTATTAAGCGCTCATGTTTAATTTAAACATTTCAACCCTCGTTATATCTTCTTTTGACGTTTGTTCATAAGTACGTCTTATTAACAGGACACGACACCCACATGCAACACGTCATGATAATATAATATAATATACACTTATATAGAAATTTCCTTCACAAATAACCAACATGGTAACGATCTAATAAAAACAAAAGGTTTCGGTGCTCAAAAATAGCCTGAAAAAAAGTTGGGTTCTGCAGAATGTTATGATCTGTGGTTTATATTATGGCGACGCTCAAAACATAATATTATAATATATTATTACAGTAAATAATCGTTATCATCTGTTTCCATTTCCGTCCACAGGTACATGGTTTGGAGAGAGACGATTTCGTCGACGGCCACGTTAGGCTTCCGGATCGAGGGTATCAAGAAAAGCGACGGAAAATCGAGCAAGGACTTCAAGACGACAAAGAACCGGGACCAGGTGATCGAAGCGTTTCGAGATTTCGTCGCCGGTTTCCCGCACGTAATCGTGAGTCGTGCCTATATTAATAATATACTACCAACCCATATTGTATCCATCACACGTTATATGCAATGTTATTAATAACGACTGCGCTTTTTATGCTCTTCGTGTTTTTCAGCCAAAGTATATCAGCCGACTGAGATCGATCAGAGACATGCTGGTGGAGTCCAAGTTTTTCACTACGCACGAGGTTTGTCACGAAATCCGTACACGCACCTACACGGGCGTCCCTTAAATTTTTAAAGTGGTGGCAAAATTAATTTAAAAAAAAAAAAATAAAGAATTTTTTATACATTTTTTTCTTTCGTTWTAAAAATAATCTATATTTACCAAATTGATGCGTTAAAGATAATGCTTTGGAAAACGAATTTAAAATTCAATAGGGGGAGGCTTGCCCACCCCCTGGCGACGCCCATGCGCACCTTTTTGGTGTTGTGTTTCATTATATTTGAGTATTGGTACCTTTTCGAATATTATTTCTAGTTTCAAAAACTAAATGTTTGAGTACATTTGAAATACAATTTTGACTGTATTAAACATTTTCCTTCAAATAATTTTTTTCCTACTTTTGGTTTAAAATATTTTACGAAATATACCACCGATATGTTCTGAACAAAGTTTTTGAAATCAATAAAATATTATTTTATATTAGATCTACATTTAACACCGTAATAGGTAATAGGTACATAGATAATTTTATCTCAAATAAAAAAACTTTCAATAAAATAACGTAGTACTAGAATTAATAAAATATTTTTAACTACTATTTTGTAAACAGTTTAAATTGAGTTTTTAAATCTTCAAATAAAGCTTTAGTGTTAATTAAAATTAKAAAATTAATGATTATAAAAAAATCCTTTCTTAGTTAATTTAATTTAATAATTAATAAAAAAATAATAGTATTTAAAATCTTTCTCAAATATTTAGTAAACTACAAAAAAAATTATTTTCACAACTATGTTTATCTTGGGAAGGTACTAAATTATTTATTTAATTATTCTAAAATCCATTTTAGAAAAACATTGAAAATGTAGCAATTGTTGCATCATCTTGCGGAATATTCACGAATTTCCCGGAAATGTTTCTTCAAACCGGTTAGTTTTTATTATTTTAAAAGTGGACTTTTAGACGTTTGTTATATAGTTGTTTTGAACTATTATTAATGGCTTAGATCGCTTTTGCACGCGGACCGATGCCAAATTTTTAGCATCGAATTTCATGTAAAACGGGTTGTTTTGATTCGTTATTTTATACTGAACACTGGCGTATCTATGTGATGTGCAAATCTAAGCGATGGACAATAATTACCTAGGTGACCTTARAGTAATAAAATAAAAATTATTTTTTCGAAGAATACCTATGAAATTCATCAACGTCGTCGTCTTGAGCTGGATATTCCTCTTCAAGACCCGATATCTGTCTAGAAATGTATTTGTGTTCATAATTCAAGAATTTAAATATTATCTTGGACGTCCATAATAAAATACATTTTCAAAAACGGAAACAATTATTCGTTACATTGTTGACTGTTAATGATAATCATAACGTTTTTAATTTGTATAAATGTCGAGGAACCCTATTGCCGGTGTCTCGTTGTTTATTATCATTGTATCTGGTTCACCGAATAGTCATTAGTCATTATTTTGTTTAATCATTATCATATCAATCAATATACAACGAAATAGATAGTACAAAGTTGTATGATACTAATATATGTATTTGCAATATTAAATTAGTAATTTTGTTATTATTTTTACTTACTCATTTGCAGCAATCACTCAGAAAAGTACCTATTTTAAATGACGGTGAATGATGTATTAGATCTTAAATAATTTTTCCTTAAAGTATTTCAAATTTATTTTAAAAACCTTTTGATTGGATTTGTTGTTTTAGCTTTTTTAAGTACGATTTCAAACATTTAATTTCCAAGGCCATATCGGGAATTGATTATTATCATCGTCGTCATCCTAAAATCATTTCGTACTACATAATATTAGTATAGTGTCACGACAATACTTACAGCGTAGACGATCGATGCGTTTCAATGTCATAAAATATTATTCAGTCGTTAGTTACGTTATTATTATATAATCAAATAGTATATGAATGGGGTGGGCGAGTCTACGGGGTGCCAACTTGTGATTTTTTTTGTAGCTAAATTGTAACCGAAATAAACTCAATGGATGAACTAACGTCAAACTACTAGCCACTAATTACTTACAAATACCGAAAACCGACATGCATTCATTTACGAATTGAGCTTTTCAACTTAAATTAGTGTACGTAATTTGGACTAGGTGGGCAACCAAACTTCACTCACGTTCATTAAACTTTACGTATTATGATTGCTGCACTTAATAATTTATAAACGTGATATAGTTTCGCGCATTATAGATAGTACAGAAATCAAAAAGGTGAAGAGGTGTCGGTGAACTGTTGGTCTTTGAAATATCGCAGTGATAATAAGAGTAGTTATTGCATCCGCCGGCTGAAATGTATCGCTTCCGCCCCCGGTTTTCTATAATTTTCTGATTTTCATTCGTGGATTTGTCAGTATTCAAATTTAAAACATCGTGGTTATTATTTCTTTCAATTAAATTTCCGTGTAACAATAGTGCATGCTTTTGGAAAGTGTKGATAGTGCAACTATAGGTCAATTTTTCGGGAGGCTGCAGTAACGTTCAGGTTTTAGTCTTACATTATTATTGTCTTATTTATATAATAATTAATTGACACATTTTAGAAATCTTGTTACAGTATACTCGTTCTTAGCCATTTGTTTGCGTTATTGAAGAAAAAATTTTTCGTAATTTTGGTAATATCCAATTGGGGAGGGAGTGCTCAGTTCCAACTCCCTCATTAAGGTTACACCAATGGTTGAGTGGGGGATGAAGTCCCTCAAATCGTTGCGTTATTAAAATCAATACAATTTAGTTAATTAAGTTATTTTTTATTAATTATATTAAATAGTTAATCAGTACACACAGTATACACAGCTGGTATGCACGTGAGTCGTACATTTAAATAATTGTGACGTGTATATTATAATATTTGTAATATTCGCTGGTGAAAGTAGGTATAAGAATAATGCCTTCCGCCAACAAACTATCTTATTAACAATAACAATACGAGAGATAATAATATTTATAAAAATATGCGTTTTGGTTCGACCGCTTTATCCATTTTTTTTTCTAAAAATAATAATACACGATACCAAATTGTAATCTATAATATTTCTCGGTGCCACAAACGCCTTCAATGATGACGTTCGACTCAATAAAATCCTACCGTTTCAGAAATTCTGTAAAACTTATTTAAAAAAAAAAGRATTTAACCTAAACCAACTTACTTGTGGTGAACAATGTGACGATTCGTGTCTTCAATCCACACTGAACGGCGTTTTTTTTATAAAGGTAATAGAACAACATTTAAATCGTCGCAAAAAAACAAGTTTTCAATACTGTTTTACGTTAAAAAAATCAAACACGAAAAATCACCTCGTCAGATCGTGGTGTCCTATTGCTTGCGTGCTTTACGCCGTTAAGGGGAGGAGTCACATAAAATCACGTTTTTCGAAACTTTTATTGGTTACAAGAAATTGTTTCTAAAATTTTTATTTATTTATTCCTATATAAATAATAAGTCTTTGATAGAAAGGTACATTTTTTWGGTAAAAATTACATATCATTGCACAAATTTGTATCAAAAACAATCCGCTCACGTGTAGGTTAAAAGTTGGTTTCAATATTTTTTCAACGAAAAAACGAGATAAAGATCATCCAATATATTCAAATAACCAGGATTCAATTTCAGCTATTATTAAATTCTATAGCCTACTAAATAGTGCAAAATAATAATATTCACAAAATAGGTTAATTAAGTTTTTAAAAAGTCGTAGGTGGGCTGTGTCGTAGTCATACGAAGTATAAAGTGGACTAACTTCAAGTCTGCAACTCTTATATGTACAATGGCAATTTAGATATTGTTATTTTTTTTTTTTTTAAATACATTATYATTATTGTTAATTTATATTTATTTATTTTATATTTCATATTACATTAGATATTATTAAAAAAAAAAATACATGTTTCATAATTGTCTCAATAGTAATTATTATGTGAACGATTCCCGTTGTGCGTTATTATTAGCCATTAGGTATTAATATAAAATTATAGTTATAACGTCGTTCGTGTCCGCAGGTGATCGGCAGTTCGCTGCTGTTCGTGCACGACAGTAAGAATGCCAACATATGGCTTATCGACTTCGCAAAGACGCTCGTACTTCCGCCRGACATCCGGATCAACCACACATCCGAGTGGGTAGTGGGCAACCACGAAGACGGATACCTGATCGGCATCAACAACTTGCTGGACATATTCACTGAGATGAATGCCGCGACTGCGTTTCCAGTCACTCTCATCGAAGTCACGGCCCCATCCGAAGTCGTCTGAACGCCGTCGACCGGACCAGTACCCAGACTCCCGCGACCAACTCACCGGTCATCCTGCAATTCCCGTGACCCACTTGCTGGTCTTCCGAACCGCGTGACCACCACGTCGACAACGTAATATAATATATGTCGCCTGGCGCAAAAACAAAAACCAAATTAAAATTTTTTAAATAACACTTTCGATGTTCGAAGACAAACCAAGTCCCGACATACTGCAGGATTCGTTTTGATTGCGACGAGTKTTTAATCATATAATTTATATCCCCCCACTCACCCCCTCCTACACCCAACCCGATTTTTGGCGCACCAGAGGATTTGCCATCAGTATTAAAACAATGATCTATAATAATAGAAGATAAAATATGAATATAATATAATTATACATCATCACGGTGTGTTGTATATGTATATTATAATACTAATATTATGCACATATTACCTATATTATTATATATTATGGTAATGTTTGTTTGTGTGGAAATCCAATAATATAAAATAATAATAATTATTATATTTAAATACGTGTACAATGATGGGACTACTACGTGTGATTCTCAAATTACATATTTTAATTATTTAAACGTACATTTTTAATCTAAAACGTAATGACGTGTGTAAATATTATGATATAATAACTGTGCGTGCGATAACATAATTATTTTATAATATTCATCAATCAATTTCCATTGCAGTGTCGCGTGGTTTTTATTTCGTTGTTTTATTCTATCGCTATTATTATGTTAAACTACTATTTTTTTTCTTCAGAAACTCAATATTTTAAATATCAGCCCCTTTTCACTTTCTCTTCCATCACCCCAATTAATCGTCCTTGTATCACACAAATAATATAATATTACATTTTTTTTTTTTTAATAATTACCCACGATACAACGAATATAATATTATTATTATAACAACAATAATATTACATTAATTACTTTATTTTTATTCCCGCACGAGAACGAAACGTCTTCATTTCGTTTTCCTGTTACAGTTTGTGTGTGTATGCGTGTGAAATTTTCGATTTTATTATATATTATTACAATTTTCCCTTTATATTTGTATTTATAATTATATTTTGTGTGTGTGTGTGTGTGTGTACAGAATATTTAAATAAGACTTGTGAAAGAAACCCTTGTTATATTATTTTATTTTTTATTTCACTTCGCACATGTGTACATAATAAATCGTTATCGCCTATTTTTCTACCCGTTGTTCTATTTTTTATTCCAATTTCTCTCCATGCTCCCGGTCTACGATGTTCTTATCAGATGACGTGTCAGTACTTAGCACAATAATCATAATTATATTATATTGTAAGTAGCAATACGTGTGATCTGTAAGTCGACTTTTATCTAAAACTTTTAACATAACTAGTTACTTAACTTTCTAATTAATATTATAGAACTCAACTTACTAATTTTGATSGATTGTCGAATGACTTTAAGTTTTGCTTCAGCAATATTAACATTAGATGGTCACTGTGGATAAACACGATTTCAAATAAAATAATCTAATTCTATAAAATGTAATACTAACATTTCTGTTATATTTCTCCAAAAATTAAAATTTTTTACAAATGTGTCAAAATACCGTTCATCTGGTGTACGTTCTGATAAAAAAAAAAATGTTGGTAAGAGTTAGTTGTATTTCTTCCGTATTTAATTTACACCCATAGCAATGGGCATGAAGTTAAATCTATTGTTTGTTAACCTATAACTTATTAATTTTATGTTCACTTGGCTTAACTTGAATTTATTATTTCCTCCTAACTTTGATAATACTTATCTATACTATAGAAAAATATAGTATTATACTATATTTTTCTGAAATGTCTAAAAAAACTTATATTATATWACATATAAGATACTATTGAATCTAATGTACCTAGGTATCTAATTAAGATACTTGTGAGTTGTGATTTTTTTAAGCATGCTCATCTTATTTTGCCCTTTAATTTTCAACACAACATTTATTCAAAATCGAATTTTTAGGATTGTTAAGTATACCTAAAGACCATACTATTTTAAAACTTTTGTTATTTTGTTGTACTATTCTTAAGTAGTATTCAGTGAGATATGGACATTAATAGTAATTGCTAACATTTTTAAGCCATCTAATAGCCCTAGCTAGTAGCTACATAATCAAATTAACACAAAGTAGGTACTCAAGAACAACTTAATTTGTATTTARATCAATAAATGTCTGCTGAATAATAATTAATAGTGAATAAAATTCATATTTGAAAAACAKAAGTTTTTACTGTTGTCTGTTACAGGGTCATTCTAAAGTGGGTACTTARTAATATCTAATAGGTATCGCTTTAGGTAATAATAAAATAAAAATAAAATGTATAACGCTTGATAACAATTATAAGAAAAGTATTTAAATTTAAYACTTTAAAAACATTTTAACAGGTTGACTGCCATGAGACCCTAATGTGGGTCACACAATGATTTCCGAAATGTTTTTGAGATAATTAAACAAAATATTATTCTACGTAAAACTATAAAAATAATTACTTACTATGTAATAATGTTATAACTGTGGTAACATTATAAAGAAAATACAATACCTTTATAATTTATATAAAATATATATAACTCAGTATAAACAATTTAAATAAAATAATTAATAGTTATAACTTTTATATATAATACTCTAAGATATTATAGTACAACGGCTTCTTCATAGCTGCGCATATGATCCAATTTCCCTTTGAACGTATCCGTCATTATGAAGACCGGTACTCCACAAAAACAACAAGAGGTCTTGTTATTCAATAAGACGCTGCTCATATTGAGCAATAATATGAGTGGCAATAACTTGTTCCGATCTTGATTATGCCATCTCTCACCTAATAAAATTAAAAATTCATATTATATTTTAAATTAATTAGAACAAGTTAAGTATGTTAACCATTTATACTATGAGATTATTCCGTACTTGATTAAACTCAACTGAAAACTGATTTTCAATGTAATAAGTCAACTTTCCTAAAATTCCTAAAATTGAAGATGACGTTATCAAATAGTGGACGTATCATACAAAATTGATATGATATACTATGAAAATTACAGAAAAAAAAAAGATTTATTTCATATCAAACTAAATGTTGAACCCAAGGCAAAATAATCAAACATACCTAGTTAATAGGCTAGTGCGAGATGTCACAGATTTGCCAGGACACAACTGATTTTCAACCCATTGTCCCGAGGAAGTGTGTCAATGAAAGGTCCAGGATAACAAATGTTGGTTGTTGAAATACGGTTAAAAATTATTGTCTTTTATATAAAAATGTCAATTCGTAATTACATTCCAAATTTCATGCATACATGAGTACTCATTTAWRACAAAATTCTAGTTGCAAAATAATTGTGGTGTGATTAAATAAAAATATTTTTAATATTAAWTATTTTGATAAGCTAGGACACAAGCAAAAAACAAGACATTAAAAAACCAGTSACTTTAGTACAAGCATTACACATAAAACCAAGCAACTACAATAGTAAACACTATACAAAAGCATGCTTTAACAAATAAGAATATTATCAATAATATAATAAACATCACCTAGAGTATACGGAAAGCAACAATTGGTTTTAACTAAAATTTAATTACACATAAATTAACTTAATTTCTTATAACACACCGTTGAACATCTAAATCATAACACATAATTATAATTACAAACATTTAGGACAAAGATACAACACAAAACATGCAAATCAGACATTATTTATTGACTCACGGAGACAATCCCAAATATTAGGATGGTATTTCAATTGCGACAGTTATATTGAATGGAATAATTCTAAATACTTATTTATACGATATTCTTCTCAAATAACGCTGATAAACTCTTGACTGACCTGATAATACCAAAAATGCTCAATATATCCAATTAAAAAATGTCTCATTCAATGTTCGACTTCATGAAATTGTTGAACATACTGCATGATGACTTTGAAACCATCGTACATAAAGTTCCGAGGACATTAAATTTAGGATGACCCCTAACAGCAGGCAAATGAGGCAGTCTAGATTATTTTTGAAAACACTTCCGCTCCACGGTGAATATTATACTGCTTGTTCCGTTTGTCGTAATGTGCCATCAGTCTCGCTTGGCTATGTGTTTGTTCTTCTTCTATGCGGGTGCACTCTGTGCACAACAGTGTTGTTGTGCATATGAATGTCTTTAAAACTCGTCGAGTGTATTATTCATAAAAAAACAAAAATTATTAATACACCCATTACAGTTACATTGGGTGCCATCTATATTACACTATAATTTTATAGTTTGATATTTGTTATTAAATATTTTAGGCATGATTTATTAGTAGGTAATACATTTATGTATGTATT